AGAATGCTTCCGACCAATGAGCCCCACGCGCCCAACAGCAAGTAATAGATAGTAAACCAAACGCTGAACGTACCTTACACGATGAAACGTCATCTTCTTTTGAATTGTTATTCTTAGACTGTAAATCATCATCCTAAAATAACACCACTCTGCCCAAATTTGCGGTTACTTCTCAAAACTTCGCAAAAAAAAAACTTCTCACCAAAACCCTTATCTGGAACAAAGCACTGACCAATCTATCAACATGCAATGTCGAAATGAAAACAAACAATCACAATGAAAGTAAAATGAAAGTAAACAATCACGATGAAATAAAATAAGAAACTAACCTCAAAAAGGAGAGAGATTTCATCCTCACTGAGGAGTCTTCGTTTGCTTGGTTCTTTCTTCACTCGGTCTTTCGTTACTTCAGAATCGTGTTTCTTCACATATTCCTTTTGTTTACACTTTTTCTTCTCCTCCTCTTTCAATCTTTCTAATTCTGCAAGCGGTGTCGGTGTGTACTCAACAACTGCAGGTTTTTCTCGCACAGAAGCCTGAGAGATGGAAAACGTATGTATGTATTGTATGTTAAGTTAAGTGTTCAAGGAAAAACGAATAACCTCTCGCGAATGCTTGTTGGAACGGACATGGTTTTCAAGAGCGCTGCGAGTAAGGGACATCCGTCGGTCTGAGCGAGTTTGCAGATCCTCACCAATGCCTCCACTACCATCAACTGTTGCACCAACGATCTTCTTAGCTTCCTGTTTAAGCTGAAAAATCCAACAGCTTCAATGAAAACCGTCCAACACCCAAGTTTATAGCGACTTTCATGGAAATTTTCAGATGATCGATAACCCTCGTTTCACTACCGTCTCGCTCCATTGCTTTTGCCAGTGAAACATAACGATAACTAAAGCATAGTCATAATTTTTGATGGTTTATACATTCAGAACAATATGGCAATATGCGGTCGTACACGGCTCCTATTGAAAACGGATGACTTTTTACCATTCCACAACCTCTTAAATTTGTCAATTTTATTCAGAAAAATTCTACAAAAATCCTAAAATTTTGATAAATTTTATGAAAAAAAAGAAACTTGAAGTGGTCTGATTATCAATCTGAAGAAATAATTCGAAACTTGATGATCGAGTTTACCTGCTCCTGAAGCTTTTGCAATCTTTCGATCTCCTCATTCAACCTTGCCACTTCACCAACATATTCCTTGAATTGTTCTGATCGTGATTTTGAGGTTGGAGCCGGCAGTTTGACCTACAATATTTCTATGAACGGAAACATGGGAGCAATCCCAAAATAACCAGTACACATTGAGAACATTCAGTGCTACCTTCGGCAAGGGAAGAGTTTTAATTTTCTTTGCTGTAGAAGCCTTAGTGCTAGTTTCCGTCGATGAGGAATCTTCTACTCTTTTTGATGAAACCAGGGCCTCCTGAAGTAGAACTGATGGGCTGATGAGTTTTGCAAAAGCGATTCATTCTTAGTTTATTTATGGCTATATTCAAGTAGGTAAGAATAGTGAAATAGACTTGTTATCAAGTACTAAAACTCGACTTATTTTTCGGTAACAAAGTTTTCCAAGGGCGTGTGTGGCGCAGTGGTCGAAGTCGCTCTGCAATACAAATGGGATCGATTCCGGCGCCCCAGACTCTTCAAGCTTTCTATTCGTCCAGAGTCGACAAATTGGTACTAAACTTTTTTGGAAGGGGAGGATAGCAGCACTCGCTCGATACATCGGTAGGCCACCGCGAGTCATTGTAAAGACCAGATGTGCATTCAATCACCTCTAACGATATTTAATGAAGTCCGATGCATGGCGCATTGCTCAGGAATTGTTCAACGCCTGGAGCTCTATCCTCTTACCCTTTAACGATGTCTTTCAACTCTCGGCTATAACTATAACCAGCCAATCCTATCCAAATCTTTGGTTTTACCGGAAAAATTAGATAAACAAAAAAAGAACATTGATGCTGGAAAGTGATTTGCCTGGGATTACGCCGTTTCCAAAAACAGTAGAAGTAAAAAATCTTGTACAAGAAGAACTGTAGCACTTTTCATGTCTTTCAAACAAATGGAACCCTCCTTTGAAGCACTTCTACTCGGCACATGGACGATTTAACTGTGCTTGTTGTTTTATTTCACATGGAGCGTCATCACATCTACTGGAGCGCAGTAGTAGTGACACCGTTCACCACAAGCACGGTGCTGGTTCGATCACACCCCTGACTGAATAGGACGCTCATGCCTACGGGGTGAGGAAATTGGTACTAGGCTTGCCCGGGTTCAATTCACTGCTTCAAAGACACGCAGAAACGCTCTAACGCAACTATCCCAGGACGCAAGGTAAAATCAGGCTTTATCTGTACCGTATCGTTCAACAACATTCATAAAGAAGGTAATAACCCTCAAGCATAGGCGGACCCACAGCTCAAAAAATCAAATCCTTTTGTGTCGAATGTCATGAACGGAATTCACTGTATGGACGAAACGAAGGACCCGCATGATTTCGTGCTTAGCGCGTCAGCCCCACGAAAGAGTAATATTGTGTTCGACCCCTAGCACAGACACCTGCGGTCCACGCTCTTGCAAAGACCTCTGTATTATTATGATTGTAATTCACTGTATATTATAATTAGGCAAAGTGTTTATAAATATTTCATACCATTCGACTAGAAGGAACAGTGTTAGCCGGTCCCGGCAGAAACTGTCCCGTAGATTCGCCTCTGATACTTAAAACCGGTTGCATGTGACTAAGTGAAAACGCTCCCACCTCAGACACGGATGGTGCAGGTACCGAACTTGACGGCGATGGGGCCGGCGCATAACCTGCAATCCTCCTTTTCAATAAGAAAAAAGAATAGTAATACGAAAAAAAGAATCCTACCCGAAAAGGAAGCATGACTATAAACATCAGGTTCTTCTGGTGCATATTTCGATGACGTTCCATAGTAACCAGGTATTGAATCGGTTGCGAATTTGCTTCCATCAGTCAAAAGGGTACTGCGTTGTCTAACAGTGGAAGGAATATGAGGTGAATAGCCGAAATCAGCTATAGAATAGATTCTGTTAGGATCTATCGGAAGTTCACCAATCACATTCGAAGCTACTCTAAACGAAACATGAACAACCATTCTTCCAACTGCGTTGTACAAAGGAAACACTTCTAATCGAATCAATGACACCATAAACATATAAAAGGATAGAACTCTCGGCGTTTATCAGTCCCTGAGGGATGCACCATACGTTCGACTTCAATAAACATCAATGAAGATGACTGAATGCATATCTGGTCTTTATAACGAGTTGAGTGGCTTACGATATATCCAGATAGTGTTGCTATCCTCCCAGACAAGTCTGGTACCAATTTGTCAACCCCGGATGGATGGAGGGCTTGGTGAGCCTAGAGAGCAAGGATCGACCGATGTGTATTGCAAGGTACCTCCGACCACTGGGTACACGCGCCCTCCATAAAGGTATAGACCAAAAAAAATGTCGAAACTCACGCTCGATATGGGAAAAAGGGAAGAGCTTCCGAAACACTAGCCGTATTTGATACGATGGTAGATCCGGTTTCTTCTGCTTTATCGTCACTATAAGCAAGGTTATACAACAATACCGAAGAAAATTAACAATGACCCACCATCCCGTTAACAGCGATTGGAGATTATTGACTTCGTCGTTTTCTTGTTCAGCAATCGCGAGGTTGTTATACAGCATACATTCTGATATGGGAAGGTGCAGTGCTCAACCATATATGACTATAATCAGCTGTTCTAATCTTCCTCATTGGAAGTCACGTAAAAAGCGATGAGTTTTTCGAGAAGCTGTTGATCATGTAATTACCATAGAGTTTTTTCGTCTTTTTGTGTTATTGAAGCATTTGGCCTAGTAAATTGTATATCAGTATACCCTTCCAGGCTCTGAAGAAGGCGATATTGCCGAAACGTCAGCTACTGTTGTATTGTATTGTGTTCTTCCATAGAAATAAATGTATGCTGTATAACAACCCCGCGATTGCCGAACAAAAAAACGACGCATTCATATTCCAATGCCGAGGTTAATAGATGTCGATCCTGGGAACTACTGACTTCCTTTATAAATAGGAAAAAATTCATAAATGAAATATATATCTTCCCATAGACCTCCACAATAAATAGCTATGAGGGTAATTCTTTAAATTGCCGATAATCAAACGCTGAAGAGATCAGAACAGTAATGTTCCGGTTACACCTTGACTTAAGGGGAAAGATTACGAACCATGGAAAGAAGTAATTTGTGATAAACTTGTCAACTAACTGGAAAAGTTTTAGAAGTTATTAAATTAGATTAAAAACCACAACTATAGGTCAATAAACACTGAAGTACACCCCAAATAAAGTGGAGAATATGGTTCCCACTTCGGAAATGCGAATTTGTAGTCCTGTGGTTCACACGGGAACGGAACGTCGAAACACCCAACGTCGCTCACCGTATGATTTGTACGTCCTGCAAAATCCTCTAAGCTTTAGCCAGGCGGATGATAAGAGAGAGAGAGATAGAAGAAATCAGAACACACCTTCATGATAAAATCGGCAATTAACACGCTTACAGTCAGTTATTGGACAAAGTAGTTCGGAGAGTACGCTAGGCCCTCGAAACATTTTTTCAAAGGACCAACGGAATTCTAAAATCAACTAAGGTGGTCCGGGTATTTGCCGATAAATTTTCCAGTGTACATACATGTCCCAGTATTGGTTCTCATATTTGATGCCACCAACGATCAAAATTACACGATTCCTTTGTAAATTTTTATGATGAAGTGCATTATAAAACAATTGATAACTATAAATACTACAATCTACAACATTAAGCACTAGGTGGACTAGAATTCGCCTAGATGTTGATCAGAATAGGATGTAGCTAAAACATAACATCTCCCTCTCTCTCTTTCTCTGATACTGAGCAAAGTAATGAACTTGAATAATTAAACATTCACACAAAACACTGAAGATATCACAAAACTATGTGATGACAGTGGGTGACTTCCGGCCAGTAAAATGCTCCATCTTGCATAAATCCAGAGCAATCAGCACGAGCGGCTTCAGAATGTCCTTAAAATAGTTCAAACAGCATTCAAACTCAATGAAAAACATAACTTTAAAAGAGAAAGCTGACGTTTCGGAGCCTGGATAGGTCAAGTTGATATTCAATGAAATGTGAGCGTGCAAAGAAGTTATTCTGTGGTCACTGTGATTGAAATCCTAGTTTAGCATTTCCTTTGTTTAGTTATGGAGGCGTTTGGCCGTGTAGATTGCAGTCAACTTGACCTTTTCAGGCTCTGAGGAAGGCGAAATCTGTCAAAACGCCACCGTTATTTACTGCCCACTCTTTTCAATGACAGGGCATATATTGCGAAATACAACTTCAATAATGCTGAGACATTTGCAAAACACCGGAGTGCAGGTACCCGCGGTGGGGAACGAACGCGCTATTGTCTTTTCCAAGGAGTAACGCGTTCACCATCACACCATGCGGGTCGCCTGTCTAATGTGAATATTTAAAGGTAAAATTAGGGTAGGATAAAGAAAAATACAAATGAAATGAGTAATACAAGACACTTGCATGTGCGGGTGCGAAAAGCTTATCTGAGGCGCTGGATGGCACATAGGAATCTACATACAGCCGAATGGTAGCCCCAGCAGAGCCGGTTCCAGAAAGACGAAACACAAGACGAGAACTATCCTCGAAAATTATGCGCAAACCCTTAAATGAATAGTTACAAACGAAGACCTTCGAAAAATTACAACTAACCAGTAAAAGCCAGACTGAAGATATTACGCGAAACTTTACTGAAACAAAAAGCAACTTTCCTAGAACATTACAAATTCGTGGAAAAAAGAATCTATTCACTTACACAAAAAAACTTGTAGAAAAGCAAATTTTAAGGAAAACCAACCTGTTTCGCTGCTACAGATCCGTCAATTGGATCAGTGTACAAAAAATTATCCGCCAGTTTGACCTAAAATTTGATGAGTGATGTTATCAGAAGCAGACTATACCGCGAAAGAATCCCAATAAATCCGCCAAGGAACTTCTACGGAAAACTTCATATTCCAAGATAAAAGTTTACCATCTGTAAATACTAGTCAGTAGTCAGTAATGTATATACTTTTCAGTGGTTATAGCTACACACGTGTATATGTATAAACATATGCATATACATATATATATGTGCATACATGTGTATATGTATGTATGTATATACGTGTGCTCGTAAGTATATACATATCCATATAAGTATATATAATTGTATATGCATGTGTGTATAGAGAGAAACAGAGAGAGATAGAAACGTTTTGGCCACTCTTGATACAAACTAAGAACACCATGGAGGTAGTACAAATAAGAAGTACAAGGTTCTCTGCTTCTCTCCCGGTTTCAACTCGACTATTTCATCTGTAAGATACAAAACTCTCTCTCTCCCTCTCCTTTAGCTTCAACTCGATCATTCTATCCTTCATAGTCTCCCTACATGGTCTCCACCCAAAGTACAACATTTGTTAAAACAATCAACGAGCAATAATAACAATAGTAACCTAACCAATGACTAAAATTCTGCATTAAGAATTCATATCATAACATTAAATGAAACCTTGGTTAAAATACGAAATTATACGTAAGGATTAAAACTGAGGGTAAAACGGAAAAAACGGACCTTGTATGACACATTGTTTGCACTTAGCTCTTTACCAACGAATGACGGCATTTGAGACTCGAGAAATGTCATCAATAAATTAGCTCCTGAAGCGTCGACGTTTTCATAATCGTACCTAAAAAGATGACTCGGTTCAACTTACGACAGTCAAATTGCAGAAATCTCTAAAAAACCAGAAAAATCCCTTTATTCTACGCATGAGTAAATCGCAACAACCGCAGAGATGGTAGAGACCTTGTAAAAACGTTCCTGCCATAACGTTTCCATTGCTCTTTGACAATGTCTTCGACGGACATTTTCTTCTCGGCGAGAATTTGCAACCAGGCAAGCATTGCCCAAACACCATCCTTTTCCCTTAAAGAAGTGGTTTACAGCGCTTGTGACAAGTAACTTATAGTCGCTAACCTAATATGGATACTTCCAGTTCCAAAGGATTCTTCACCACATAGACATATACGCCCGGCATCCATCAAGTTCCCAAAATACTTCCAACCAGTAGGAGTTTCAAAAACCTAAGGAAATATACTTGATTTCAGTCTTACTCACAAGTCCTATCATATACAGCTCTATCCTATCGCTGAGTTCTAAACGATTTCACAATGTAATATTTACAAACACTTATGACAACATAAATTAGAAAACGAAAGTAAAACCTCTAGTCCCCTAGCTTTCGCGACTAAGTCAATGGCACCAGCAGTAGGCATAGATCGAGCGAAGCCTAAAATAAAGCGAAACGTTGAATAAGTTATCTTTGGGATATCCTCAAAAAGAAAAAGTGTGTGCAACTCACCAGAAATTTTCCGAGACTTAAAGTATGGAATACAGTTTATGTTATCCGCGATCACAGCAAGGGAATCACTAGGAGTCACAAAAAATCCTTTTCCAAGGATCATATTACGATCCTGAAGTGAAAAACATGGCAAGCTTTTGATTTTTAAAACAATATAATATAGAGCAAATACATATGAAATCTGAAAAAACGCACCCCGTCACCATCAAAGGCGGCACCAAAGTCATGCTTTCCTTTGTTTAGCTGTTCCACTAACGTCTTCGCATACGTTAAATTTGGGTCAGGATGCCCTCCTCCAAAGTCCGGTTTTGGGACAGTTCTGAAAACGATGTTGATCATTCCCATCAAGTACACGAATGGTGACAAATTGAAAGATTCAATATGCAAATTTAAGATTAGAAATATAGACAAGCCTTAGCAACCCATGGCTTTCAACACCAAGGTAGTCGCATAAAATAGTCGAAACATACGGACCAGTAGCCCCATGCATTGAATCGACCAGCACTTCAAAGCGCTTGCCGGTAAGCTGGCCAGAAATTAGCGATTTTATCTACAAGAAAAAGTTTGAAAACTAGTAAAAATTCTAAAGAAATACAAAGCTAACATTTTCTGGACGATACTAATACAGGTAAACTTGTGTTTGGCCTAAAATAACCTAGACTCCTAATTTTAGGTAGAGGTACCACAACCTACAGTGAAAGTTGCTAGTTAGAGTGAAAACAATATGAATCAAACGATCCTTTTCAGCAAAATATAAGTCTTCTCTTTTCAATCATACTAGTAACTATGGTAGCAAAGTGGTTGAACAAGCAGGATCTCGTCAACGCCTTCACAATAGTGTTCAAAAAAGCATTACCAATGCGGGCGGCTACCTAGCATCAAACAGTTTGGATTTCTAAAATTATATAACTATTATGTAGAATACAATGTTCATTATGCTGAGATATTTGCAAAACTCCGCGTCAGTTTTATTGGGTTCAATGCTGATTTGTGGTCCCCAGATCAACCCTGTTGACGGGTGATTGCTGATAGCACTGGTAGACAGAAAACTAGCTGAGAGATACGAGAAACGAAGGACCGAATGGTGGGGTGGTGAATGCATTAGCCTCCGGAAAGTGTAATAGCGCTTTCGTGCCTCACCGCAGACACCCCCGACCCAGATTTTTGCAAATACCTCAGCATGATTAAGGTTGCATTTCACATAACACCCTGCCGTAAAACTGTAGTAGGCAGCAAGTAAAAGGTTAACATTATATAGCTATCCCCTATATTTTAGTCCAACAAGGTTCGAAAATAAAAATTATTTGTAAAATGACTCCTCCATTTCATTCATATAAACCCGTCAAGTCTCCATATCCCCAAATAATCCGGTTATCAAAAAACAAGCATCGGGACTAATGGATTAAAGAACCTCCAACTGAGTAGATCAGAACGAAGAGATCCACAAATCGTACCTTTGAAAAATCAAAAATACTCTGCATCAATTCAACGTAATCTTTCACTGGGTCAATAATATCAACCATGAAATGTCCAACACCATCAATATCATACTCATTTCTAAAAGAAAAAACGCATTTTCAGAGTAGAAAAATACATAGACAATACTAGAACAACTGGTAGCATCTCTTTAGGTGTAAAATTATAATGTTTTCATCATTAAGACGGTGCAGAGATAACAAGTTTTTTCTTCGCTTGTATCCTTTTCCTTTATCTCCTTGTATCCCTTCATCCTTTGAAGCTTTGGAATTGGCATCGAACTCGATATGAATCCTTACGAATTATTCTACTAATTAATTAGTTACACGAATAATTATTACGAAAAAAATGATGATTGCTGATAGCACCTAAAGTTCAATAGCACAGCTGAGAGAAAGGAGAAACGAAAGACTTGCATGATGTGATGGGGAACGCGTTAACCCTGGAAAGGGTAATAGCGCGTTCAGTCCCCACCGCAGACACCAGCAGTCCGGAGTTTTGCAAACATCTCAGCATCATTGTGATAATAATTATTCATAGTTCTTCTTTGCAAATCGGAAACAAAAGGTAGCTTTTAACTCCCAAATTGTTTAAATTCAATAAGCAGGACGTAAAGCAAACTGCTTGGAATACTAACCAAACACTCGGCTACGGAACTAATAAAACTTTTGAGCAATGGCGCATTTGTTCTTGCTTACTGAAAGACATAAACTCAAACTGAAAACACACTGAAGACTTGTTCAATTAGCAAAACTTGATTCACTAGGGAAACGACAACAACCAAGTGAGCGTTATTTCGATCGATATAGGTACACATACCTTCCAATCCTTGTAAAATCACATTTCAGATCAGGACATATTGAGTAGTGAGAAATCTTTGTAGTTACATCATGTATAGCGTTTGTTATCTTAAAAAACAGGAATGAATTGAAACTCCGTACAATGCACATATACGATGTATTACAACATTGATTCGTTTAGTTTTTACTCCAAATAACTCTTAATTATTAGTAATCATTAATGCAAACTCTATAATAAAGACCAGTGATCTTAGACGATCTGTATCCCAAACGTTTACCGCCTTATCGTGGGTGGGAGGTGTTCCTGGGTGTCGGACTTGGATATACAGCGGAGAGCTCATACCCTAAGCTGAAAAGGAATCCGACGTTTTCATCCGGAAGCCCAGCTAAGAGTAAACCTCGACCAGGAATCATCACCATCCTGTCCCATAGTGGCAAACTTCCTGATAGGTACTGTAGGGAACTACACCAGCTTAACCAGCAAAATTCCTATTTCAGTACCCCGTACACTGGGCGCTCCTGTCTGCGACGTTGGGTGGTGAGACCACCGATCAGAGACGTTCAGTTCTCAGCTTGTATAGGACGTCATTGGAAGCGGACAAAAAGAGCACGCGAGCACGCGTATGATACGCAGTGGAGACTACTTCTTGCCATGAATCTATAACGCCAAAAGTCTCTTCAGACGCCAACCTTTACGCCATTCCTAAGGGTACTGACTACATCAAACTCCATGTAATGATCCTAAAAGTGAACACCCGTCTATATGCCATCTAGTCACCTCACACGAAATCCTACCATCATGCTTAGCACTCTTCCCTTTCAACCCTCGCGTCAGAAGAAAGTTGGTATCAACTGGTAGTCACCAACTCGTACAGCTTGTGAAAGCGAACTGGACACGTTCTACAATAAGTTGGAGGAAGTAGCTCTCATCGAGAAATCCTCCTATTAAATCGGCGTTGGAGATTCCATTGCCATATTAGGAATGGCTAACAAAAACGAACAGAGGATAGGAAAATCCGGAGCAGAAAGTGAAATGAAAATAGAAACCGTCTTTTAGGACTCCTGCCCACAGCACGCCCTTCGACGGGGATCCATTTTTTAATAAGAGGGAAAAACGCCCATGGACGTGGGAATCTCTTAACGGCACAATTTAGGCCGAGATCGACCATTCTCACGAACTGAAGACAATGCCTCGTTGACACGTCAGTGATACCTGGATTATGCACTGGATCTGACCACTACCTTCGCGGTGCGAAAAATCGCAGCCATAAGCGGAAAAGCATTACCACAGTCCACGAAAAACGAAAGTTGTGTATGAAGATAACATTCTCAAATAAAATCTTCTTGTATGACCAACAGACAAAGGAGGACTCGAATACTACGAGCTGCTTGTCGAAGGACTTAAAACGTGTGCAGTACTCGTCATTAGTTCCTCAAACAAGAAGTTGAGACCCCATCTCCATTACCACTAAGGTGCTGGTCAAGAAGAGAAGGAAACTGGAGCTTGATTCTACTGCAACACGACTAGTAATAAATGCCGGCTGCAGAAGAGCTTTGCAAGAATATCTACATCGGTACAGGCATAAAAAGTATCTCAGCATCTCAAGAACGACCTAGTGTGAAGAAGTGCCAATAGGATTTTCGCCACTATAACGATCCATTATCCGTCTTAATGAACGAAGATGGTACTCTCACTACATCCTGTCATGATGTGGAACTGAAAAAATAAAAGTTCTATACCGAACCTCACCGTTCTACAAACTCTATCTCGGATCCCGAAATCCCCGCTCATGATTCCACCCTATGAGGTTCGTGCTGAGATGGAAAGCACGAAGAGAGGCAAAGCTCGGTGACACAATAATATTACCGCCGATTTCCTCACAGATGAAAGCCACAAATTACATGTATTTCTCGCAACCCATATGACTCCTTACCTTTATAAAGAGAAAATCCCGCAGTAACGGAGGACGTCGCGTATAGTCACCCAGCCTAAGGTGAAAGAAACGATCTTCGAAATTAGCGTTCGATATGCGTGTTGAGTGTACCCTATAAGCTGGATGAGGTAAAATAAGTTGATCAAGCATAATTCACACAAGTATTCTGCTACATATACCGCATCCAAACGATATCACGCGACATATGTCCGTCGGAAGTACCATCTGCCTCTTGTCCTAACCTTTACCGACTACGAAAAACAAGGACTTTGCTGCGCAGACCACATCTAAAACGGGCCGAGGATCATAGTTTGTCGAGCAAAGCACTAATCCCTAGTCCTGACTTTTGCCAACTATGCAAGGATTCGTATCAGCGGTCGTGGACCAAGGAGTGGACCCATCCCACGTACGTAAACCAACTGACTTTTATCGGAACTGCAGCACAAATATATGGTTTTTTTTTCACCGATCCCTCATCATAGAAATAGAAATTGGGGTTCGACAAGGCCATACAACGTAACCAAAGATGTTTAGTGCCGTATCGCAGTGGATAACAAAGCCACTATACTGGAACAGGAAGAGCACACATACTGATGGAAAATTCCTATCAGATCTCCTGTTCAGGGATAATATCATCATCTTTTCGAGGAATGCCAATAAAGCAGAGACGACGCTCAACGAACCCAACGAAACAGGAGAAAACATTGATTTGGACATATACCGGGAGAAAACCTAGTTCACGAAAACTTTATGGTGCGAAAGCATCCAGATCGAACTGGATGGTTCCCTGATGGAACAGCCCGCATTGTACGTATACCATGAATGATCAGTGAATATGGAGAACAACGTGAAGGAGGAATTAGACAGAAGGAGAACAGAATGCGTTGCATTCGGGTCTCTCAAAGAAGCCACCGACTAAATAACGGACCTAAAACACCGCTTTCACCTTTTCGATTCAACAGTCTTCCCAGTGCTCTTTTGTGCAGTAGAGGCGAGGGCTCATACTTCAACAACGTTAAAAATTCTGCGCGCTACCACAGAGCGCTTTAGCGATGTCTTTTGTAGTTTAATCAGTCCTCACAATGTATAGCCCAAATATGGAACTCCAATCTTCCAAACCTCTTCTTTCTTCGGAGTCCAGGAAAATACATATCGATAGCGAAACAGATGGGACGGTCACATAATAAGAACAGATGACAAATGCACGAATAGAACAGTGGAGTGGACTCCAAGCCAATGAAAGTGTTCTCTTGAAAGACCAGCCAAACGATGGGAGGACGTGCCGTGATTAACGTCAATTATCTGCAATTGCAGATGGAAACGCTGTTAGGAAAACGAAACGAAACAAACGGGCTTCAGGCAGAAATGAATGGAAATTATGAAGGGCCAGTGCTACCAGTAAAGTTGGGCCATTCAAGTACCAAAGTAGGTTCTTAACACAACGGCGACAAAAAATTAGCCATCAATAGATGCGGGAGCCACAAGAATCTATGCCTCGGGCTCTAAGTGTTATTACTTCGCAAGCAAGTGTAGTTTATTACTCAGTGAATATCACGGATAGGACTGTTAGCCCTGAATATAGGTATCATTATGATCGCAAGCAAGGAGGGAAAACTCAATTCGTTCGAACATTTCGAATACAAGCCCATGTTTTTGAGGACGACAAGGAAAGTATGTGATGTCTCAAGTCAGATAGAACGGCATAAAGAAAAACCACCCACGTGTTATACTAACTGTTCGCCCATATTCAAGCCTGTTAGAGAATGGATTCCATAAATAACAAATAAAAGGAAGATATGATGCTCTTGGTAATACTTTTCACGCCAGGAATGTTACCCTGCATTCTTTTGAAGGACATTTAAAGGAATATTGACCATCAATTTAGCAAGCAATTTTATACTCCACGAAACACGTTGTCCTCTATTCTCTACAACTATTACACTAATACGCGGTTGGTACCAAACTTTGAGAAAAGTTTTGCAATCTAATTTATACCTCCCAACGATTTGCCGCCTGGTCGTGGCTGGGAGGTGTTCCTGGATGTCAGGCTGCGATGTACAGCGGGTGATTCATCTCCAGCAGGGTTTCGCAAGCTGAGGAGTCCGGCGTTTCCATCAGGAAATGCAGTCAAAAATCAACAGCAAACCAATACCAGTATCCACCACCGTCCTAGTATCAAACTAGTCACATGGTGACAAACCTCCCTCTGATCCACAAGGGCGGTAACTGGCTATAATGGTGGCGACCTAGGGCACACTTTGGCTAGACTGACTTCGGGACTCCAGGGAACCATGATGGCTTAGCTAGCAAAACTCCGAAAAAATGGAAATTATGCTGGGGTCCGTACAACCAGTGAAGACGGGCGGTCCAAGTATCTAAGCATTGAATTTATAAACTAGTTCATACATACCCCATCTGGAGCAGGTCCACCATTTTCGCAGTTGAATTTGATACCGAAGTCACCTTTGGGACCGCCGGGATTGTGACTTGCTGTGAGTATGATGCCTGTATTGTTGTAGTGTTAAGTTCGAAATGGTAAATATTTCACATCTAAGAAAAGTGCTGTGAAAACCTCCATCAATCTTGCGTCCTTCGAAGCCTTTTCTGATAAGATTGGACACTGCAGGCGTGGACAAAAAACCATTTTGGCCAATGATCAGACGGGAAACCTGAGGGTGTAAAATGAAGGCCAGCAATAACAAGCATAATTGGAAGTTCAAAAACCCAAGTATAAACTGACTCCATTTGCTGCTGCGATTTGAATAATGACGTTGACAGCTTCCGAACACAGAAATCGTCCATCGCCTCCTACCACTAACACAGAACCTTTCTTTTTACTTCCAAGACCGCCATCGAGAACTGCTTGCACAAAGTTCTCCGTGTAATGTTTTTGTTGGAATTCGGGCACCTTAAATTTATAAGATTTACTACCTTTAATAGTGACTTCTTAATCAAGACTATATAAAGGTTGGTAAAATCATAGCGTCAACTCGTAGGAAATCATATACCTAAACGCTTAACTATTTTGGAAGCACAAGAGTATACCACAATATTGACCTTTTATTTGCTGCCTGATACGACTTTTTACAGCAAGGTATGATGTGAAACAGAGCCACAACGACGCTGAGATATTCGCTAAACTTAGACCCCAGGCCAGATTGAACCACGATTACCCTTTCCGTATGCTCTTGTGTTACACACTGCTGAGGCCCTTGCCTTGCCTTCATGCTGACGGGTGATTGGTGATACCAGCGTTAGGTAGAAAACTAGCCGAGAAGCAATCTGGTCTAGGGTCTAAGTTGGGCAAAAATCTCAACTTCGTTGTGGTTACAAGAGGATTTTTCAGTTCTGACACGGTCTAAACAAAACGAGTATGTCAAACTTTGTCAAGAAATCATATGTCAAACTGACAATATAAGCAAAGGAACAATTCCGAAAACTTCACGCTAAAGCTTTTGAAATTTCGAACGAGAGTGTAGTTCCTCAAACTACTAACCATCTAACACTAATTATTGTCAGAGTTTTGAAACAGCGTTGAATTTCGTACTGTAAGAAAACGCGCTATGTTCACTTTCATAAGGGATAAATTCGTCAACTAAACTTATCATGTAGCAAAACAGAAATTACAGTCATACACATTAAAAACCCTAAACTATTTCACACACCCTCTTCCTTAATCCGCTAGTTCCTGGTTTTTGGCCTTCGAAAGGTTTCGTAGGTACTGTTTCGACCTTAAACACCATGTCTGCGACTTGTATTGGAAAGCTGGCGCAGGTATCCTTGAATAAGAGTTAATGAGATTCAACGACTAAACTTGGCATATTCCAAGAGGTTCGTTCACGTGACATCGAATTGGTATCAAAGAAAGTGAAGAATTCTACGTCATGTACTCGAACACAAACATAAATACTGTACATGCATATATATATATATATATATATATATATATATATATATAATCACTATTCCAATACATACTGGGGCAGACATTGGTTTGACTGATCTCGGAACTTCAGAGAACCACAATGGCTAAAGTAGAAAAACTCCGGGGGAATAGAAATTATGCTAGGCCTGCACAACCAGTGGGGATGTGTCATCCAAGTATCCAAGCAAGTACACAAATACATATACTCTCGACGATACTTTTAAAGATCCCGATGCCAAAGATGCCATAATCTGAGCTTCATAAGCACAGAACATTTACTCCTCACAAATATTTTTAGGCAAGATAGTACAAATAAGGACATACAGAAGCTACCATCCAGCGATAACGATTTATTAAACGCTCCGAACTCACCTTTCCGCCATGAAAAGCCAGAATAGTGGGAAGGTGCCCGCGACGCCAACGCCCACAGCTACGATTGGAGCAGCTCTGAGTAACCTGTAGTTCACCCCAACATCAAGGAAAAATGCTTAGGAAAACTATTTTGGCCGATACGAATCCCATAAGCAGTCGATCAAACATTTGATATCGATACAGGGAGTCCATACGATAGATCAGAGCTGTTTGCTACTACTTTCTGGGCTAAGTTTGCTTATGAGAGGCCTTTAACGTGAACACTGCTCTAGTACGATACATCAACGCGAAATTTTTGACAATAATATAACGCCTATCATACTAAAGAATCCAATTTTGAAGATAAAAATGTACTTAACATAGTTTTGCATCATCGCCACCAGTGACCTCTACAGGCGTCACAGTGACGTTGCGCGAGTGACCGGTGTGACACCTACACGTCTCTTGCTCTTTCCAGTGGTTTATTTTGCGCCAGAGAAGTCTTTTCCTAGACTTTTTGTCATCAATCGGTACCTTATCTAACGTAGATGTTTGGTGGGCGACATCCATGGAACAGTGTCTTCTTAATAATTTCTCACCAACTCCTTATTTTACAACGAGAGACTATTACTGCTGAAGAGTGTGCGGCATAGTGAGCGTAGCCATTGAAGAAGCGCCGAAATGCCTCTGCCTCGAAGAATTGGCATCGCATGCAGTGTGCTGCATCGTTTTTGACAAGCACTTCGTTGTTTCCCAATTTCCAATCGCTATGATGTGTGTAGCGCAGTGGTCGGTGGCGCCCTGCAATACACATGGGATCGAACCCCGCGCCCCAGACTCACTAAGCTTTCCATCTCTCCGAGGTCTGCAAATTGGCACCAAACTTATCTGGAAGGTTAGCAGCACTGGCTCGATACATCGATAGGCAACTGTGAGTCATCGTAAAGACCAGATATGTAACCCATCACCTCCAACGATGCTTAATGAAGTCGAATGGATTGCCATCCCTCAGCGATTAACGCCGAGGGCTTTATGCATTTATTTTACGATGACTTTTGGGTATTGTTTGGAATGAGTGGAAATCAAAACTGAAAGGTACACATCGTAATATTCCTTGCAAAGCTTATACAACTTCATCAAGTGCTGACAGCTGTATGAATGCAGTTTTTCGTCGTATTCAAGAGCTGTATACGCACCAAAAACATGACAGCGTGTATAAGAGAACATAGAGCATGCATACGATAAGAAAAGCGCAGGGATTTTTTTTTCGAAACGCAGAGAAAAACCAATTTATGGAACGGAGATCACAATAAAGGAAGCGGGACTACACAAAAAACGCCGGAGTGGCTGGGATGACATCCACAGGGGTCATAGTGAGTACAGCGAAAACTAGACGTCGCCCAGTCGGCAACAAAACCNTTTTTCGAAACGCAGAGAAAAACCAATTTATGGAACGGAGATCACAATAAAGGAAGCGGGACTACACAAAAAACGCCGGAGTGGCTGGTATGACATCCACAGGTGTCATAGTGAGTACAGCGAAAACTAGACGTCGCCCAGTCGGCAACAAAACCGCAGCATGTGTCATCGTGAGAGTTTTTAGAGATGAATTTTCAGTTCGATGGCAAACATCCAAATAAATGTGGACATTCGACAGGAAAAAACCTATCAATTAGCATCACAATCGATATATGATCTAGTCTGCATAGTATTTGCTCTTCAAAGGAAGGTACTCATAGCAGTAAATTAACTATTAAGCTTAAATTCTATTCATTCTTTATTCTAACACTACCGTCAGCATTTGGGGCTGTGAAATGATATCAATCGACGAAGCTCCCAGCAGTAGCGCTTCCCTCTGGGACAGGGTGAGCTGAAAATGATAAGAACGCCTTTTGTTTCTCAGGGGAAGTCTCTATTCAGGTTCTTAGTTTATGGAAGTAAACATGGTCATCTACACACTGAAAACTAGCTTTTATGAGATAGTTATTGGTAGTACACAACGCAGTATGAAGAAGAAAATTACACATTCTTCTGTCCTACAACTAGACATTTTGGCATGCATTGTACGGTATCGCATCGTAGACGAAAAAAGTCGCAAAAATTTTGAATTTCGGAGTGGGTTTTGTTGATAATCTGATATGTGATAAGCTCTATTTAAAGAATACACAGTAGGGATATTCATTTGCTAGTTTCCAATCAAGAAGAGCTAGTCGACAAGATGCCACCTAAGAAGTAAGCAGATAGTAATGTTATAAGAAGAATCCGTTTATGAGACAGCTGAATCCGATCTTCGGCAATAGTGAGAATGTACTGGAAAAGTAGTTTTTCATAATCTTAAGTGACTGGTGGGCATGTGAATGCATTACACTTTGAACTAACCTAAGTTTTTCAAGCCCAAAAAATTCTGAACGTGTTTTCAGAAGCGAATTGCTTGCTAATAAAGTGGAGAATCTGTTCAAAGGTATCACCAATGTTTGGGGAATGTGAGTTGACTTGTTCTTTCTAAAAAAGACCTGTGATTCACATTAATGAGAGTCTTAACGTTGGTCTTCATCTTAACAACTGATCCACATAACTCTGCTATACTCGTGTTTGGCAACTCTCTACACTGAATTGTTCGAGAAAGAAGCAGCATCATACGGACGTTGTAAGGACGTAGACGAACATGGTTACCGTTAGGTACTTAAGGAGAATTTTATCCCACAGTATTATTTTTGAGCCAGCGATACGTAGCACGGCAGGTATAGCATTGCAAGGGTTTCCATTGAAGCCACACTTACTGGGAATAGGATGCGATTGCACGCAGTGTGATAATCAATAGATTTGCCATCAGTTGCAGTTGTTATTTTGAAACACGAAAAACCTAGGAGAGAAAAATAAAGTGTAAAAGAAAGGTAATAAACGACAAGACAAGACAAAGGCAACAGAAATGCAACCGCGACTGATGAAAGCTTGTAAGATACTGAAGTTTCCTAAGAAGATAACTTTTTCTAGGGCATTCGGAGGGGGAAAAACCGAACCAGCACCGGATTCTGCGACACGTATGTCATTTTAAAGAGGTTTATCTCTGTTTAAGATACGGACGTGACTGCGTCGACGAGAACAAACGAAGATCATGCGAAGGCAAAGTGTAGGATACTGTAGAGTATGTAAGATAATGGGTATTTTTATCATTGGCTATATTTAGTATTCAAGTGCTTGGAATGTGCCCTAGCAAATGTACAGAATAGAATAATTGCCAATGCTTTGTAGCAGCCAACGATTTCCGTTCATTCGTGTCCTTCAAGACATATCCAACTTAGAATGCAGTTGGAGGGACTCTGTCTTCTAGAATATTTCCATAACTTGGATCTCAAACACAGTTGACGGCATTCTGATATGTTGGTCTGACCTTGTCTAGATGTAGCAAACACTTCCAGCAAAGTAGCGATAGGCTAACAGTTGGAGGAACCTGTCTCTGATTAGAAGACCAAAGAGTAGATCCAATTGGAAATCCGATAACGTTGCAATCGCGGCTCTCGAACAATTCACATGAATAGGCACAGATAGATTTATATTCTTAGTTCTCTAGTAGCTGTGGACCCCCACTTTTGGCATTTCATGGATCATATCCAAAATATCCTCTATTTCCCACATTTTTACGTGACTCGTCATCACGTATATTGCACGGATTCCATTCCCTTCCTCACCTCCATACACCACGAACGTCTTCGAACTTTTTGCGTATGGATCAGCTTGCCCTGTTTTAGCATTTTTGGTATTCCTCATGAATGTTGTTGAGTACTGGTCGAGTCATTCCTGTGTCACGGTATAGCTGTACTAGAACACTGACGGATTAAGCAATTACGGGGTCGAAGCAGTACCGTACTCGTAATAAACTGCATCATTACCACAGTTCTACCCACATTATTGCAATGATTTCCATTCTAGCCGTCCCAAATATCAATACAACAAATTCATAAAGCGTCTTGGTTGTGTTCAGCCGAACAGACGGCGACGATGAAGAAAATAATTGCACGCTTTCAAATTCGAAAAAAAGACAACTCACCTTGTAGTGAACTTAGCGACGGTGCTTAACAAAAACACTAGAATCTACAAACCTCTGCAAACAAGATACTCTAGTATTCTTACTCTAGTAAGACGAAATTTTCATTTTCCAGAGTTCTAAGTCGTTTTTTGGTTCAAAGCTCGTGCTTATGGCATAAATAAAAATAAGCCTTTGAAGAATTAGTACGTAGTCTCCTACGATAAAGTAAAATCTCTGCTATAAGTCCACTAAGTTCGCAACCTCCGCAACCAACCTCAACTTATTTACGTGGATACATGGATGGTTCGCCTTCACTGCCTGTGTAAGCCCTAGCATAACCTCCATTTCACTGGAATTTCGCTGGTTTAGCCATTGTAGTTCCCGGGAGACCTGAAGTCAACCAGGCCAAAGTCTGCCCCACGTCGTTACCACCAGAGGCA